GGTTTAGGGCTGTGGGTTTAGGGCTTAGGGCTTAGGGTTTAGGGTTTGCGGTTCTCAGAAAAGCCTAAAGGCTGAGAGGCCCCAAGCCCGGGTGGTCAAAGCAATGCTAATGGCAAGATGAAGAACCAGCCATGTCCAGATCTGTCGTCTAAAGCTTCATGCAAAAAACCAGCAACGCAACACTAACAACAAGCAAGAGAACCAACTAAGAAGGATCAGAACCACAAAAACATACTAGCGATGAAAACCACAGTGGTACATCTCGTGCTGCCAGGCCACCTGCACACCCGGCAACAGGTAGAGGAAGATGAGGATGGTACCTGCCAGGGACGTCCCCACCAAGACGCGCTTGTACTCGCCGAGGCGGTCCGTCACCAGGGACCTATGCTCGGGCTCTCGAAGGCAACAATAATAAGAAGAAGTCTAATCATGAAAAATACGGATAAGATTAATACTAATATAGAGCCCTACAAGCATAAAAGCACTTCTGCCGTACTAGTTGTAGTACTAGTACTATCCTTCTCGAGTACCGATACAAGCATACTTTAATGTACCAGAAACCCCCTCAAACACTGATTCCTCGATCCCTCAAACCTCTCATCATCTAATGTCTACAGAGCTGAGCTCGGCTTAAGCTTTAGCGCTTCGAGTAGGGCCTAGGGCTTGGGGTTTAGGGTTTAGTGCCTGGGCCCAGGACCCCAGACAAGCCTCCCTAAAGTCGAGGTCGAGGTACCAAAACCCGGCCCCGATGAAGGAGGCGACCATCGTCGCCAGGCTCAGTGCACCGATCTCCGCCCTCGTCACACCGATGTCCGACCAGAAGACATTGATGAACCTCCCAAAGCCTGGGTTGTTCCGAGAAACCCTTCGAACAAGACAGCCTTAAGCCAAGACTAACACGTAATGTAGCAGCCTTAATAACTAGAATAAGGTTCTGGGGCCCATTATACTATAATTACAATAAGGAACCCCCAACATAATATAGGTAATTATTGAGGCCCCTATATTACTGTCAAGAGCCTGGAGGCAGGCCCAGGCAGCAGCTCCTAGCAGTTGACAAGCCTTCAAAGTCCAGAGGGGCGTGTGAGACTGCCCGGCCTCACCCGACATGCCTCTAACCAACGCAGTAGTGAGTAGTGGCCCCCAGGGACAAAGCGGGGGAAGAAGAAGATGATGAAATGTTGCAGAAACACAGTTGAAGGACAGTGGGGATGTACAGCAAGAAATAGAAATCACTACGCACAAGCTTACATACCTTCATAATTCAAACCATTCTCTGCGCGAAACAGTCTACCTGTTGATTGCGCCTCAACAGCCATGTAAGAAGTGCTGTGGCAACTTTGAGCCCGAGCCGCGGTACAAGCCTCTTCTCCAATGCAGACACCCAAGGTTCTGTGCAAGGAATGGGGCTTCAAGGGATTAGGGTTTATGGAACAGGATTGGTAATTGAAGCTTGCTGGAAACTCGAGGAGGATTTGTGCCTTTGCAAAAGAGCATGGCTCCTCCGTGTGTGGTCCGATGAAACAGCCTCTCTGTATGGTACTTACGCAGGACCGGGCAAAAGGCCAAATCGCTCTCCGAAGGTTGAGTTTAGGGTTTAACGTTTAGGGGTTCAGGGTTTCAGGATGCCAGAAGTCTCACAATCAGTCTGCCCCGAATTGGTACCTCCAAGCTCGGACCCTAAGGCGAGATGCCCCAGCTTAGAGTTTCCCAAAAAGCGCACGTTCGGTCGGACACCTCATGAAGCTCTGATGAAAACAAACTCAGAGAGTGTAGGGCGAGTCTCGCTGTCGGACTACTTCGGCCAGGACCCTAAACCCTAAACCCTAAAAACCAAAAACCCTAAACCCTAAACCCTAAAAACCCTAAACCCTAAAAAGCCTAAACCCTAAACCCTAAAAACCCTAAACCCCAAACCCTAAAGCAGACCCTAAACCCTAAAAACCCTAAACCCTAAACCCTAAATCAGACCCTAAGCCTACTCAACAAAACCCGAAATCCCAGACCTTTCACCCTGATACCCTAGACTCCCCAAAGCCTACGCCCTACTTGTTTAGGGTTTAGGGTTTAGAGTTTAGGGTTTAGGGTTCCTACATCCACAGCCCACAAAACCAAAAACAACTAATGTGTGTCCGGTGGCGTCGACGTAGACACGCCTCCAGTTTTCCTGCATTCCAGTTGGCGAGAGGCTCTCTGCCATTCGATACCTGGATTCGTGAGGCTTTTGGGCTTCAGATCCCAATCTGGCCTGCAAGCACCTAATAAAGGGGCCTCAATAGTCAGAATGGGGTTTTGGAACCCCCAAAATAACCGGGGGCCCATTATACTAGAATCATAGTAAGGAAATTATTACTTGGAGGATCATGGGACTTAGTAAGTAGGGTTATAAGTACCTTAATTGGGGTTATAAGTAGTTATAAGTATAGTTCCCTTAATTATAACCCTACTTACTAAGTCCCATGATCCTCCAAGTAAGGACCCCATATTACATAACCTCTCCAAACCCCGAAAGCCGACACGATGCGCCACAGGCTGCGCGCCGGAGTCTGCTGCATCCAAGAGCAGGTATCCATCCCGGGCCTGGCAGAGGTCAAAATGGTTTAGGGCTTTGGGATTTAGGGTTTAGGGTTTAGGGTTTAGGGTTTAGGGTTTAGGGTTTAGGCTTTTATCCATCGCGAAGACACTTCCTTATAAGGAGGGCTCAGCCAAGCGTCTTGGTTCTGCATTCAAGTTGCTATTTCCAACCCCTGCTTTCATGAGGGACCCTTTACGAAACCTTCCAACACGAAAATTACAAACTACCTCACTGCCATGTTCAGTGATGCAGCACTTTGACTTTTATAGGCTCTCACATGCTCCAATCTTCTTTGTTTGATTCCGAATTAGCCCCTTACAGAATGAGCCCCAGGCCCGAATTAATTAGAGAAGGGTAACCCTAAACCCTAAACCCTAAACCCTAAACCCTAAACCCCTAAAACCCTAATATTAGAGTAGGGTAATCAGGAGCTCTGAAAGAATCCTCTGTGGTCTTTTGGGCTTTGGAGTCTTGGGGGACTGAAGGTGTCGGACTTTCAGTTGCGGAGTTGAGGTTTTGGGAGTTTGGACGTCGAGTTTAGAGATTCCTGATACTTTGCTTTGGGATTATTGGGTTTGGGGGATTTGAACTCTGGGGTGATAAAGTTTTCGGGATGCAGGCTTTAGGGTTTTCGGGTTTGGGGATTCAGGGTTTCGGATCTTAGGGTTGAGATGGTTTAGGATTTGCAGGGTTTGTGGGATTCAGGCTTTAGGATTCCCCTAAACCCTAAACCCTAAACCCTAAACCCTAAACCCTAAACCCTAAACCCCGAACTTTTGGGTTTTGGGTCGGGGGTTGGTCGCGCCGGAGGTGTTCAATCCTTCGTCTGCTGGAGGCGCTCCTGTCAATTTGTTTGTAGGGTTTAGGGTTTAGGGTTTAGGGTTTAGGGTTTAGGGTTTAGGGTTTAGGGTTTAGGGTTAATAAGAACGAAGGTAGGGTTCAGGGTTCGGGGTTCATAGGTAGAATAGGGTTTTGGTGCATATTATACCATAATTATAATAAGGAACCCCCAAAATAGCATAGGCAATTCTTAAGGCCCCTATTGTAGGGCTTAGGCACCAACCCAAAAGACCGAAAAGCACGAAACCGCCCGGCAGAGCCTGAAAACTCTGCCCCCAACTTCGGAAGAGCGCATCGAAGGCGCCTGAAATCTGACTTTGGGTTTGGGGTTTAGGGTTTAGGGTTTAGGGTTTAGGATTTAGGGTTTAGGGTTTAGGGTTTAGGATTTAGGGTTTAGGGTTTAGGGTTTCGGGTGTCTGGCTTTCCGACCACGAGGTTTCGGGTTTGGGTCTAGGGTTTAACGTTTAAGGCTTCAGGTTTGGAGTTTGTCTTGGCGCTGAGGGTTTCTCGAGCTTTCTAGGGCTCTGCGGCTTAGGGTTTAGGGTTTAAGGTTTAGGGTTTAGGGTTTAGGGTTTCTCTAGCTTTCCAGGGCTCTGGGGCTTAGGTGCAAGGTTGAGGGCTTTCGATTTCAGGTTCTCGGGCCTTTGGGTTTAGGGTTTAAGTCTGGTTTTATGGCTCTTGGGTTCAGGATTGTGGTTTTCAGGGGAGCCGGAAGCATCTTTGTCAGCTTGAGAGATTCCGGAAGCTTGAACTCAAAACTATAGGGGCCTCAGTAATTGGAATAAATTTTGGGGGTTAATTATACTAAGGAACCCGATTCCAAGGCTTCGGGACTTAAGGGGTTTGTTGCTTGCGGCGCTCTTCGCGCCTCATGAGTGTTGAGAGTTTTCTGGCAAATCCAGTACTAGGCCCTCCACCTTAAGGTATTTTGAGACAGATTCCGTCTCTAGACACTAGACCCTACAGCACTTATCCCATACCGGAGAGAACTTTCAATGACCTCCATCTACATCCTGAGCCTGAACACCCCGAACCCTCGACGCTACGTGCAAAGCCCGAAATTGCACTGAAAGTTCGCGCCGAAACACAGATAAGCTAACTACTAAGATTATGGTTTAGGTATGGTTAAGCTAACTACTAAGACTATGGTTTTGGTATGGTTAAGCTAATTACTAAGACTATGGTTTAGGCATTATTAAGCTAATTACTTAGATTATGGTTTTGGTATGGTCTAAGCTAACTACTAAGATTATGGTTTTGGTATCATTTAGGTATGGTTTAGGTATGGTTTAGGTATGGTTTAGGTATGGTTTAGGTATGGTTTAGGTATGGTTTTAGGGCTTTGCAGTTAGGGTTTAGGGTGTGTTAGAGCGGGAAGGCCTCGTCTGAGGCTGTCGGCCGCTGAATTCGTGCCCTGCACCGCACCGAAGATCCTCAGAAGTCTCACAACAAGAACCATGGAGTCAAAAATTCAGGCCACGGGTTTAGGGTTTAGGGTTTAGGGTTTAGGGTTTAGGGTTTAGGCTTCGTGGTTCAAAGTGTACGAAGCTTAGGGGGTATGGGTCTAAGGGTTTAGGGTGTAGGTTTTTGGGCATTTGGTGTCGTTTCCGAGCCTTTCGGTGAGCTCGAATTCCTTCAGCCGTCCAGCTTGGGCTGGCATTGAAGACTTAGGTTAGGCGAAGGTGTTCCGAGACTCCGCAAGTTGCTTCAGCATAAGTCTTGAAAGTATCTGCGTTATACCGGAATAGTCCAGTTGACAGCTCAGGACCGTACAGCTGCTTCCGTCGCTACTTTATTCGCTAGCTTGCTCAGCATGGCTCCACCATCCCTTAAACCTTGTACTCCTTGGTTGCGAGCTGCTTCCTTCACCGGCTGAAGGCGTCACAAAACCTCTTGCAGAACCCTGTAGAATCCCTTACTTATAGAACCCTTACGTAAAGCCACAAGCCCTAACTTAAGGCTGCTAAACCCTAAACCCTAAACCCTAAATCCTAAACCCCTAAACCCTAAACCCTAAACCCAAAGCCCCTAAACCCTAAACACGCACTCCTTTCCTTTCGGGCTTATGCTCGCCGAGTCTCCTCTGCAGGTCTCCTTTGCTGCAGGACTCGGTCACCAGGTGCCTGTGCCCGCAGGACGGCCAGACATTTACAAGGCCTCTCTGACAGGGGAATTAGGGTTTAGGGTTTAGGGTTTAGGGTTTAGGATTTAGGGTTTAGGGAGTTAGGGTTTAGGGATTTAGGGGTTCAGGGTTTAGGGGTTTAGGGTTTAGGGTTTAGGGTTTAGGGTGGTGGGTGTGTTTGTGTGTGTTTGTGTGTTACTGCCAGCGCTACTGTGTTCTCCGG